AAAAAAAAAAAAAAAAAAGTGTCTGGGACTTCTCCTATGGATTTAAGTGATGCTCTGATACCTCACCGACATATTAATAGATCAAATTATCTACCAGGGTGGGCCAGTCTCAGGCCTTGTGAGATAGTTTGCTCACTCGCTCACTGCCATCTAGTCAATTTTGACTCATAGTGCCCCTTTAAGGCAGAGTGGAATTGCCCCTTTGGGTTTCCAGTGCTGTAAACCTTTATGAGAGCAGAAAGCCTCATCTTCCTCCCTTGGAGTAGCTAGTGGGTTCACATTGCTGACCTTGTGTTGAACAGCTCAACAGGTAATCCATTATACCACGAGTTCCTGTCATTCTTATTAGAGGGTGCCTTTTTTCCTGGCCCCAGACAAATCACTGGTTAAGCATCTGAAATGCCTTCTGCGTGAATGCCCCTCCTTCTCTAACTGCTCTTCTCTCCACTTTCTTTTTTTGTTTTCTCAAGGGCTCAGAAGAAACTCTCCTGTAGTCTGGAAGACTTAAGAAGTGCATCCATGGAAAAGGTCAGCTCATTAATCTGCACATAGCAATGACTGAGTGACTTCTCTGTGCCCAGCACAGAGGGGAGGTGTGCAGGCAAGGAGGACCTGGTCCCTGCCTCCTTCAAGTTTATATAGGGAAGCTGGGGAGTAAGACTGACACCATCAACCTCGGAAAACCAGTCAGCCCAAGGTAACCTGGAGGCACAGAAACTGAGGAAATACTGTGTTGAGGTGCTGAGCAGAAGAGCTTGCATTTTTGGTAGAGCCTGGTGGGCCAGGCAGGTTCGGGTACACTTACACAGTGGGGAATAGGAGGTTGCAAGGAGAGCCACGAGTCAGATCAAGCCATAGAAGGCCTTGAATACTGATTCTGTGAGGGGTGTCAAAATGGTCCTAGAAACACACCATTATCTTTTCATACCATTTTTCCAAGAACATTTTGAAGCAGCCTCGCATATCTCCAGGGCAGTTGGGAACCTTGCAGAGGTTTGAAATGAAGAAGCGATGTGGATAAAGGAGATAATCCCAGGAGTAGGGTATGGGATAGTTTAGTATTTGGAAAGGAAACTATTGGAAGAGTCTAGACAGAGATTGGGAACTGGTGGACCTCAACCTTGCAGGCAACCGCCATGCCAGAGAAGCGGGCTGGAGGAGGGGTTGGGCCATGAGTAAGTGACCTGTTGTCTTCTGCCATGGATGGTGATTTCCTGGGAGGAAGATGGGGAGGGAGAGAGTGAGCCTTTTGGGGTTAAGCCGACAAGTGGCCCTGAGTTTTTATTGTCTGTGACTAACCAGGTCTCTTTCTCCCCACATACTCATCGAATCCTCCTTGCTGCTCTGTAGTGTGTGGATGGGAACCAGCTCTCCCTGGTGGTAGAACCCAAGGTACATTCAATGCAATCCCATGACCTCTTGTTATTGTATTATTTTCTAGAGTTTTTATATGGCAAGCCACAGTTTTTGTACTCTTAACCAACTTCTTAACAGTAAAGGAAAAGAAAGCTGGAGGAAAGGCAAAACTCCCCCCCCCCCAATTTTTTTGGGGGGTATGTGTAGGGAAACAAATCCACAGAAATATATATATATGAGTTTTATATAAAGGTTTTAAGTGTACATTAAGAAAGCATCCCAACCCAGTGCTGTCTAAGCCCATAAGGCCGACATTAGTCCATATGTCCAACACCGATCTACAAAGTCATCCTCAATTTCACAAAACACATGTAATGATGCCAACTGCAGGAGGAAAGCTGAATCAGTGAGCGTGTAAGCATCTCAGTGCTGGCAGGGGTCTCCCTCCACAAGGCTGCTCCAGCACCCAGGGCTGCATTGGGGTAGGTCCATGTGGCTTCTCAGTGATATCTTGCAGGAAGTGAGCCTTGCAAGCTGAAGCAGGGAACTGCTAAGGCAGCTGCACCCTGGCCCAACCATGAGAGAGCAAGAGACCCGAGAACTAGAAATGCGAGGCTCACTGAGCCATTTATCTCAGCCCTTCAATTAATCCATGTGTGCATTGGCCAGGTTGGCACAATAAACCTTAACTATCTCAGTATGTACAGCCAATTATGTGATATATATTTCACCTCCATTGTGTGGGAAGGGGCAGGATTTATTATCACCTTCATTTTAAAGACTTCGTGAAATTACTCTTTAGAAAAACAATTGAGGTAATCAGTAGAAGGAGGATGTTATGACCTTGGCACATACTTAGTGATGGCTCTGTGTAATCCTTTTTATCCTGTTATGTCATGGCTATTCTCTTTTCAAAACACACGTGCTACCATCCTACCAGGACCATGAATATTATCGGCACAATCATGTTCTGCCCCATTCCCTAAACATCTTCTGGGCCTCCTTAGGATGTACATCCGTTGACAAAGGCTTTCCCTGTGAGCCAATGGAATAAATCACTCTCCCTTGCTCTCCTATAGGCATTTGCAACTCCTTAGCCCCTCTCTGAGTGCTCTGTTCTCTGAGCTAAACGTTCTTGTCCCATGTGCATGGATTATAAATCTTGAATGTTGCATTCTCTCTTTAGGAGCAGCATTTCCCTTGTAGTCTTTAGGTTGTGTCCTAAGCATGAGATTTCAGATGAATTCTGAATTGTGCCTTCTGGGTGTGGTGACTGCTCCTCTAGTTCTTTCTATAACTCTAGGACCCAGATGTGTGATTTTTTCCGTGCTTCTGTTTGTCCACATTCCACGGTGTGATAGAGCCAGCCTGCATATTATTTCACAACAATATTAAGGCAGGAATTACTATTCTGTACTTTGAAATGATAAAACAGGTTCAGCGTGCTTAGAGAGTTTTGCCCGAGTCCATCTGACTTAAAACCTAGGAACTTCCCACTTAGCGTGCTGCCTCTGTTTCTAATTTAAGGGAACTGGTGATCGGCTTTATGCTGTTCCTTTCTAACTCCTCACGATCAGGGTTATTCTACATGGAGGCCCCAGAAGCTGAACTGGATGGAGTTGAACATTTCTGTTTCCTCTGTGTTGTATCTTAGCATTGAGCTACCTTCGTTCCTTCGCAGCTCTCCTCCATGATCTGAACAGATCTCAGAAAGTCCCAGTGCCTTCTCTTGTCTTCCTTACAGGTTGGGCTGCCTCTTGAGTTAGATTCATATTCTCGTTACATCTCAGAGGACTCCCTGGACAGCCCCGCATTGATATTCTTGGTTGTCTCTGCCCTGTTTGGGGGCCACATGTGTGATGACATAATCAGAGATCTGTTTGTGAGACCCCCTCCTCATCCCAGAATCTCTGTGTTACATGGAGTTTTGAAGTCATTCCTACCACTTCTCTGAACTTTTTGAAAAAGTGCTTTCCCAAAATCAGTGGTTCCTGAGTCTGTGTGTCAAAATCATTTAAAGGGCTTGTTAAAAATACAGACTCCTGGATGCCCCATCAGCATAGCTGATCACTGGGACCAGAGTAGAATCTGGAAATTTACAATGCTATTTTATATGACCCAGGTGATTAGGAAGCAGCCAGCGCATGGGGGAAACATTTGAGACCTGCTGATTTGGACCACATGCCTGATCATTTCCAACTTCTACCTCGTGAATCATCATGAACTTCAAAACCTCATAGTCTCCATCTGAAGGGTCTGCTACTTCTACTTTACCCACTGATTCTTGAGAACGTAGTCCCATCTTCTCATCTCTCAGGAGCCCTGGTGGTATAGTGGTATGAGTTAGGCTGCTAACTGCAAGGTCATCAATTCAAAACCACCAGCTACTCCATGGGAAAAAGACACGGCTTTCTACTGCATAAAGAGTTATTATCTCGGAAACTCACAGGGGCAGTTCTACCTGTCCTGTAGGGGTCACTATGCGTCAACATCGGCTCAATGGCAGTGAAGTTGGTCTCATCTCTCTCCTTCCTGAGCTTATTCTAAGGGATTGGTAGCAAATGTTTGAAGAATGAACTGAATTCAGAAAGTTATTGAATACTTTGTAGTTTAAGGAAACATGCAAGTCATTATAGTTTCCCATTGTTGTTTTGATCTCCTGGTCTTGAAATCTGTTTACCTTTCATAATACTTTTAAACTGTGTCCAATCAGACAATATACATACTATACTCAATTTCTCTTTTCTTTTATTCTCACTCGAAGCCATTCCATGATACTTCACTCAAATTTGTGTACTTGGGTGCTATTATATCTTTCTTGGCCAAATCAATATTATAATTCATCCCTTTTTTTAGTAAGCTTGTTACTTTGCGAGGCTTTTTCGGGCCAAGGCCCAAACTTTGCATGGAGACCGTATGTCATGCAGACTGTGACCTGAAGTTCTAAGAGAACTCTTCTGTTGGCATGTAGTCCTTTGGTCCCCTTCCTGTTGTCATTTCCTCCAGAGGTATGTGTACCTCCTTATTTTACCATAACGTAATGTTTTCCAAAGTATCTATCACCATACGATAGTCTTTTAAAAAAATATTTTTATTAGGGGTTCATACAATCCATACATACATCAATTGTGTAAAGCGCATTTGTACATTCATTGCCCTCATCATTCTTAAAACATTTGCTCTCCACTTAAGCCCCTAGCATCGGCTCCTCCTTTTTTCCCCCTTCCTCCCTGATTCCCCCCATATGATAGTCTTCCTCTTCCACTTCAAGTGTAAACTCTAATCCCCCTGTTGTACCATAATCGTCTCTTAGGCAAGATCTATATCATATGTGAACTTGGGAAACCCTTGCTAAAGTCTGCCCTGACCTTGAGAACCCAGCTTTATAACCCCTCTCCACCATCCACAGGAAAGTAAGCCTGTGGTGAAGAGGAAGGTCAAGCCCTGGCTGGCCTCAGTTTCCTCTTCTGCCAAGATATTGTAGATTCTAATTGTGGCAACTCCACTAGGAGCTGGTGATAATGGGTGACCTGGGAGAGAGATTATCATTTTGTTGTACTTTATTCTCTTCATCAAAGATGGCTTAAACAATACCTTGCAGGATTGGTACACTATATATATGACAAAGCAATAGGCAGATTGTATTAGAATTCTGGTTTTCAGTGTATTCAAGGAGTTTAAGGGTAATTCATAGCTGTTCATTGAACTTCTGAGAACCAGGACAAATGGCAAAGGCCTTGTGAGACATTTCCACTTCCTTTTAAGGGATAGTTGCAGCCAGCCTTGGATTTGAGCTTGACTCTCGTCCTTATTTCTGGGCTGGACTAAATGGTCTTCGAGGGATGTAAGTGAGAAATGGCTCTAAGAAAAGTTATTCCTGTATCTAAGATTTTTCTGTTTAGCTTTAAATCTGAGGGCTGATAGGATATCTATGTCTCATTCCAATAGGGTAGCCCTTTCCTGGTAGAGCAGAAACATCCCACATTATCTGGGAAGGTTTCAGGAGCCACGCCCAATGGAGAGGCTGCCAAATCTACTCCCACTGCCCCCCAGCCTGACCCCACAGGGAACAACAGTCTGCTAAAACTGAGTGAGTATCCAGACCCTGAGCGGATAGCCTCAGGCACCACGTCCTTGGCACACCTAATTATTGTACAAGATCCCAGCACCTGCCACTGCAGCTCCCACTGAAGAATGATGAGAGTGGGTAACGGAGACAACTTTTACCTCAGGGTAGTTCCACTTCTAGAGATAATGACTGCGTGGGCAGGCTGTCACCTTAGGGAAACACTTCAGAGTCCTAGAAAACCTGACTGTTTGCCCCTCTTTATGTCTTTCCGGTTGTAATTTTCCACCCTTCAGATTTTCCTCTTCTCTCAAGCCCCTTCCTGCCCTCCTTTTCAGTACTCCTCTTTTCTGCCCCTCTAAGGCACCCCCTTCATGAGCTCTCCTTTCCTCTCTCTTCCTTTTTCATCCTGCTCTTCTCCCTCCTGTCTCTGTCTTCTTCTCTGCAGCCTCCCTATTGTCAGTATGGTGATGTTTTACACTCTTCCAAGTGAGAGCTGGGAAGCTCCTCTTGAGGGAAATGGAGCCCGTGGCCAATGGGCGAGAGTATAGGTCCTCAGGTAGCCTTTGGTGGTTAAGGCCAGAAAACATGGAGGTCATTGCTGCTTTTAATCCATAGTAGGCCATCTTTCCCCAACAGCTGCAGCAGATTCCGTGGGGCCCAGGAGGAGACATTCTTGTCCTGGAAGAACCTTCCCCACCCCTGCCCTCTCAGCCTTGGCTGTTCCCTGAGCTGACCCATGCTGTGTTGGCTTCAGGGAGGCTCATTCTCCTGTGGCTATAAGAATTGCAGATAAGCCCTTGAATGCATGTATCCTGGTGACACTTAGATTGTGGACTTGGAGCCGCAGCTTCGGACCATTCCAGTCTGTTCTGAGCGTGTCCTGGCACAGACAGCAAGAGCTGTGTGTGGCCCGGAGTATTCATCCTATGTGCCAACACATCAGTCTAGCAGAAAGTGCCACCAGGATAATTTAGCCCCTTCAAGTGAGGCCTCCTCTCACTCCTCCTTCCATGTGGGGTTATTTTTCTTTCTGTTTGAGTTTTTCTCTCTTGCTTGATGACTCTCTTTTGTTTATTTCTTTGCTTCCCCATAACTCTGTTGGGCTGGACTTTGGCCTCTCTTGCTTCTTCATGTGGCTTCTCTGCTTCTTGACTGGCTGGAGATCGTGGCCGGAGTGTCAGTGCCCCTGTATTAGGTACTGTACCCATTTCAGGTGAGGTGGAGAGTGAGAGTGTCCTTGTTTCCCTACCCTGGCACGCTCTTCCCAAACATTCAGATACATTTCCCCTCCTGCCTGGGTTCCTTTTATCTCCCTTGGGATAAGGAGACCAAGTTCTTGGTCAGACTAACCAGCAATTGGAAGACCATTAGCTCACCTAGCTTTAAAATATTAATTAACTCTCCAGAGAGAAAACTGGGGGTGTTCCTGAGCCCTTATGCTCATTAAGATGTTGGTTCAGAATTTTGCTAAATGAGTCCTGCCCAACTCCTGCTGAAAAGTGACCAGGCTTGGGGGAGGTTTTTCAAAGCCACGTCTGTACCTCTCATCTCCATGTCCTTTCATTCTTTCACCCTCAGGAGAGACAGAAAGTGGTTGGGATGACAGTGCCGTGACCACCGACCTCTCATCCACCTCATCGGGGACTGATTCGGCAGCCCAGTCTCCTCTGACACCAGAGGGGAAACGGAGTCCCAAGGGCATCAAGAAGTTCTGGGGGAAGTAAGTTGGTGGTGGTGCTCAGGAATCCTCCCTGCTTAGAGTTAGTTGCTAGTCCTGTTGAGTGTATAAGGACTATATGCAATAACCACAGAGAAAAGGAACTATGGGAATCACCCATCTATTAGAGTCATCATTCATTTTAGATATCCGTCCATCCCTGAATCTCTGTCATCCTCTCACTCCACCCGACCCCACATGTACACTGAACACCCTCTCTGAAGTCTGCATCCATGTGCTTTATGAGAGAAAGATGGACAAAACCAAATCCTTCCTTCTTACTGTCTCAGTTGTGGTTGAGAAATTTTTTAAGACAGAGAGCTGAGTGGTTTCTGGCTCAGTTGACTCAGTCTGTGAAGTGAGGTAGGAACTTTGGCCTCCTACCAGGCATCAGCTTTCCCTTAGATAGATCCCATGAGAGCGGCCTGGAACCCCAAGGCAAGATCAGAATTGAGAGTTGGGTCTGGCCAAAGGACTGTCACAAGTTGTAATCTCTGACCTCAAGAGAAGCTCTCGGAGGCAATGTGTGCATAGCTTTTGTGGCCCCATGAAAGTGGCCTTTCCTGGGGCATTTTTAGACTGTCTCCCAATGGTTCCCACTGGTTCCCTTCCCACAGAATCCGAAGAACTCAGTCAGGAAACTTTAACACTGACATACCTGGGATGGCAGAGTTTCGACGAGGTGGGCTCCGGGCAACTGCAGGACCAAGACTCTCCAGAACCAGAGACTCTAAGGGTCAGAAAAGGTGAGGCTCCCTCCAATCCATCTGTAACGAAGTGTGAAATCCTGACCCAGTTGACATGGGGGGCTAGGTATTCTAGAGTCTTGAAAGATGAATGCCACCTTTCCCACATTTCACATGTAGAAATCTCTCGCACTTGTAAGCCTACTTAGAGGAGGTCTGGTGGTGTAGTGGTGAAATGGTTGACTGCTAACGGAAGGTTGGTAGGTCAAACCCACCAGGCTGCCCGGGAAAGAGGGTGTGGCAATCTGCTTCTGTAAGGGTTCACATTGTTGTTAGGTGCTGTCAAGTCAACTCTGACCTGTAGCAACTCCATGGTGCAGAGCTGAACTGCCCCAAAGGGGCTTCCGAGGCATGATCTGTATGGAGAACAACACTAGGTCTTTCTTACATGAAACCACTAGATAGATTTGAATGACCTGCCTTTCACTCGGAAAGACTACTGGGCAGTCTACCTTGCCCTCCATGGTCACTATGAGGTAGAATTGACTCACTGGCAACACGGTTTTGTAAGGACACTAAGGTAATACAAGAGACTCAGTATAGCCTCTTGGGAGAGGGTGGAACCCTCTGGCCACCATGAAGACGAAGGCTCTAAGCGCCACACATCTATATCCCACTTTCAGCAGTGCCTTTGCATGCTGCGTTGAGAAGCCCTGATGTAGCAATAGGAACACACCCTGGAATCACAAACCAGGGTTGAAATTTCCACTCAGCAGCTTTCTGATTGTGAGACCTCAGCCAAGTTTTATATGTCCGCTATGCCTCCGTTTCCTCATTTGTAAAGCAGGGATTAAACACAAGCCTTTCAGTAAAATTCTTAGGCAGTTTACATGAGCCGTTGTCCATTGACACCAAGAACCAGCCTTCTGCCACTCAAGGGTCACCTTCCTCTAATATATTTTAGAAGAGACTCTCTTAACCTGCTTCTAGATCAGCCCACTTTTTGTCACACACACCTCTGTTGAAGCGTGCCCATGGAACAGACGGAATCTGCCTGTACCCCTCCTGCTATCAGTGTGCCTGTACCCCTCCTGCTATCAGTGTGCCAGACAGTACGAAGGACAGTCAACGAAAGGAGATGCTGAGGGATGCATGGAGCTGGAATCAAATGCTAAGTTTCACATGATGATATATGTCACATCCTAATCAGAAACCATCGAAAACATTCATTTTTCCTGAAGGATGCCCTCAATAGGTATACCTTCCAGCGACTAGCCTTAGTCTCCTTTTCTTTTTTGTATTTCTCTTTGTAAGAAAGAGTTTTCCCTTCAAACTTTGGAAACTACACACTATGAATCTTTACTTGAATGTTATAGGAAACCCCATTTCCATAACCTCTTCTATCAGGCAACCCCGAGAGCACATCCTCCCATGGCACACAACCTCACATCTCAGTTATTCGGCCAAGATTAGTCCTTCTCGAGGCCTTCCACAAGGCAAGCCATTTTATTGGATTGCGATATTTAAAATAAAGCCAAGTAGCCAAAAGTTGAATTGAATTCTCTTAATTTCAGCTCTGTTTCACTTAACCACACACCAGTGCAAAGTGCAAAAATCATTAAATAAGATGTACATGTGCAGGTGCACACACACACACATGCATACACAAGTACTCATCTTATTTGTTCAAATACTAACCCTCAGAGTTACATGCCTTCCAGATCTCAATTAAGGGGGAAGAACACTTTCTTAAATGCCTCATAGACCTGCATTTCCTGCGGAGTGGAGATGGTGTGATTTTACTAGATGCTGAGAGAGATAGACACTCTTTTCCCTAGTTTGTCACCTTCTGGTTTTTAAGCATTGGTAAGTCATTTCCTGTGAGACACAGGACACTGTTCCCTCTGTTCCTCCTCCCTCTCCCCCCTCCCCCTCCACCCACCAAGACCTTCCAGATGTCCTGAAAAGGAATGTGAAGATGTATGGACCTTCTTCCTGTACTTGGGTCCCCAGGGATTAAAGAAGGTGATGTTTACTTCCAATACAAATAGACCTTCTCAGTCAATGTAAGCTTTTGGCTGCAAGAGAATCTTAGGACTTGGTCTGAGACCATCTCAGAGTCATTAGTTCACTAAGGAAAGTGCACATATCTAAGAAGTCTCTTAATTTAGACTTTAAGGTTGTAGCTGATATTTTAGTGATTACAAAATAAAGCCACTTTGGAACTCCAATTTCATGTGTGGTTGCTAAACAGGAAGTTCATGACTTCAGGCCTAATTTTCATACCTTCCTCTTCTTATTCAGAGTCAGAGTCAGATTTACTGAGACTATAAAGAAGTTTATGTTTCAAGGCTCCTACGTAATTACACAGGCCCCTTCCAAGATTCAGAGAGAGCCCACTGTGCTGATAAGAAAATGCAAGGTCACAGGTCATATCACAATCTGAATGTGTCTCCTGGCAGTTTAGTGTAATCCAGGTGGTACAACCATTAAAGCATTCAGCTACTAACTGAAATGTGAGTGGTGTGAACCCCCCAGCCACCCTGAAGGAGAATGATGTGACAGTCCGCTTTCCAAGATTCACAGCCTTGGAAACCACATGAGGCAGATTGACTATCAACAGGTTTGGGTTCAGTTCTAGCACTTAGCACCGGAAATGTGAGGTATTGGAGGAGACCAACATTAGAAATACACAGACTGAGAAACTAGTTGGGGGAAATGCTTTCCAGCCGTTAGATGTGTAAAATCATGTGTTTTAAGAAAATCTGCATAAGTTAGGTATTTTAAGCACAATCACTTTAATGGTTACTGACTCATTTAATCCCAATAATTCTTTTCTATAATTTCCCTTATATAAGATAATATTGGAATGGCTATAGGCACTTTGGGGATCTGGATAAGGGGAGATTGAGTGGGGGGGCGTTAGTTTGGGTTTAGTGTACTCTGTGTGTGTGTTGTTTATTGTTACTTTATGTTTAGTAAAGTTGTTGCTAATTGCTCCAGCGTAAAAAACGTAAAAACGTTTTCCACTCTTATTCCTGCTTCCCATTGTGCTAGCCTTCCCATGCTGCAGTGGGAAGATGCAAGATCAGAGGCCATATCATGATATGAGGGCATAGAGGAGACACCTTTGAAATGCACAAATTCAGATACTAGTCTCTGGGCAATTCTTCTCCATCTTCCTCTGTCCCTATAGAACGCAGTATACAATTAATGACATGTGAAGAAGTAATCAAAAGAATGTTCAGCCAAATAGATCAGGGTAGGAAAGCATTTTAGCAAGCATAACTAGTAGTAGGTCAATTAAACTACTTTTTTTAAAAAGGCTCCTAAACTTTTTATTGACTTGTACCTTTTCTCATTTTAAGTAAATAGTTACTTTGTACCTAATTCCATATTCAAATTTTATATTTTACTTTGAAGAGACAAATTTTGTAAGTGTCCAGCCTCACAAAACCTGTATCTGCACCTCTGCTTCTGGCCCAAGAAGACCCAGGCTCCTCACCATAACTGATCAGTGCTGCCCAGGCACACATAGCATTTGTTCTAGGCTAGTGCTTTTGGTCATTTCAGATTCTCTATGGGGCCAGACAGTAGCTTTCTTTTAAAACAACAGCATACCAGTATGCTATGGGTTTGGCTTTATGGTAGGCCTGGCCTTGGGCCTCTCATAATGTCCCATATCAGGAAAAAAAAAAAAAAAGCATAGTCCCAAAGGTGGCCTTGCTGCCTAGCCCATAGTCCTCTGGCACTGGATCGGGTTGCACAGTGAGGGGGAAAACTGAGTATGCACCAGGTACTTTCCTAAAAGCAACTTTCCTGAATAGCTCGTATTTTATATTCTAAAAATCCCCATTTATTTTTTTAATGAATATATAATTGCTTTCTGTAGCTTCCTTCCTGTCTCCTCACCCCACAAAATAGACTCTTTCTGGTATTTTGCATGTGCAATTACATTCACACTTTAAATGAAAAATTGATGCTGTTAAGAATTGATGGCTTTATAATACCCATTCATCCTGTCTCAGAACATGATCTAGTTCTTCATTTATTCATGTCTTTTCTTTTTTTCTCACATTTAAATGTGCTTTAGGTGAACGCTTATACATCAAATTAGTTTCCATTCAATAATCAGTAAAACCATGACTGCAACAATTGCTCATTGTTCTCCCCGTTTCCACTCTGGGTCCTCTGCCCTGTTTTCATTCATCCAATTTCCATCTTTGGTTTTGGGCAGCTGTTGCCCTTTGGTCTTGGAGAGTTGATTTTTCTAAGGCGTATAGTCCTGACAGTTGTTATTGGCATTACGCTTCAGTTCCACATTAGAGTGTGACTTGGGACCATAGTCTCAGGGTTTCAAACTTCTAGCCTCTCTCCGACCAGTGAGTCTAGTTGTTGGTTTTAGTTTTAAATGAGTTTGAGTTTCAGGCTACACTTTCCTCTCCCACTTCAACCAGAACTTTCTATATGGCCCTAGCCAGAATGGTCAGTAGTAAGAGGCTGGCACTATCCCATCCGTGTGGTCTCAATCTGAAGGAAGCTGTGGTTCATATGGACTGTGACCCCTTTGGGCGAATTGCTTCCCTGAGGCTTTGGTTTTCCTCACTCTCTTTTGCTTTGGACAAGAAGTGACCGATAGTATACCTATCTGATGGGAACTTTTAGGACCACAGATGCACGTAACCAAATAAGATGCAGAACATCTATGTTTTATGTACTATATTCTACCAACTGATCTAGATGACCATTGACACTATGGTCCCTGGCCTATAGTTCAGTTCCACAATGTGTTTGGTTATGTTTAAGATATTTTCATAGTGGTGTTCCTTGTTGCTCTGTTAAATTTTTAAATATATATGTAGCAACTTTTCCTACATACATATTTGTAGGAAAATCCACAACCATACTTATATATCTATTCCAGTGTAATCTTACACGATTACCTCGCATGCCTATTTGGCATTCTTATATACTTATGTGTGTGTCCTTTTACAAATTCTGGCTTGTTGTGACTGTTGTATGTTGTTATAGCTGCCGCAGTTCTCGTTTCCTTTCCTTTCTTGTGCGTTCTCTCCACCCCCACCCCCACCCCCACCCATGGAGGTCATTGATTGCTTTTCCCTTTCCTGAAGTAACACGTCTGCTCTCTAGTTAATGACTCACCCACCTCCCCTCCCATATCTACTAACGATCAAAGAATGTGTCTTTCTGTGTGTAAAATTATTCTTCACTTTTTAGAATAGGAGTCTTAGGCAACATTTATCCTTTTGTGATTGATAATTTCACTCGGCCTTTGTCCTCCAGACATATCCATGTTGTGAGGGTTTCATCGATTTGTTATACTTTTTACCATTGCTTAGTATCCTACTGGGTGTACGTACCATAATTTGTTTATCCATTTGTCTGTCAATGGACACGTAGGTTGTTTCCATCTTTGTCTACTGTGAGTAGTATGGTAAGGAGCATGAGTGCGCAGTCTGTCTATATTCTTGTCACAGCTCTTACGTCACTAAGATATATACTGAAGAGGGGGGGTTGCTGAGTCCTGTGATATTTCTATTTCTAGCTTTTAAAGGAAGTGTCATACCATTTTCCATAGTGCTTTTACCATTTTACATTCTTAGCAGCAGTGTGTAGGAGGTTTAATCTCCCCACAACCTTACAGCATTTCATTTCTGGACTGCTTTCCTTTGTTCGTTTGCTTTCTCAGTCAGTACCATGATTGGCAGGGCAAGATGGTAACTCATGATAGGTTGCACTTGCTTCTCTCTAATGACTGAAGATAATTCAGAAATTATTTTAGCAGTACATCATTTCTTGAATAAATAATGTATTAACTATTGTCAATTAGAGAGTTGTTTTTAATGTTAGAACATTGCCCTTCTTCTAGTTAGCTAAGCTTGAATGTTGGATCTTCATCCTAATGCAGTTGTAGCATGTGCACTTGTGTAAGTCGACCTAGGATACAAGTAAACAGGTCCTCATGAGAATCATGTTGACTATCCCATGCACTAAGCAAGTAGAGATCTGAAATTCCACTCATCTGTTAGCAAAGTACACTCTGTGGTCTACTGCAGGTGCATTTGTTATAGTGGACCCGTGTTCCACTAAGGTCCATGGCAGGGGTGGGTTGTTTATTTGTAGAAAAAGAGAAAACATATTTTGGGGAAACTTTAGTATACAGATGGAATTTCAGGCTTGTACACTAACTGGACTATTGCTCCCCCTCTACCCCCCCTCCCCAACTTTCCAGTGATGCCAATGCCCCCTTTGCCCAGTGGAACACAGAGCGTGTATGTGCGTGGCTTGAGGACTTTGGCCTTGGTCAGTACGTGATCTTTGCCAGGCAGTGGGTGAACTCTGGCCACACATTATTGACCGCTACCCCTCAGGACATGGAAAAGGTAAGGGTGGAACTCTGGACAAAGTGGCTCCCACTTCCTCCCAAGCAAAGCACCAAGAGATAAGTCCCTCCCCACACCTCTGCAGCATGCACACTAACACTGGAAGATGGGCTATAGGCCAGAGGAGGCAGAACTTCCCTCTGCAACTACAGGCCAACACCCCAAGGCACTGTGCAGGGAGACACTGTCACCCTCTCAGAGTAGCTCTACCAAAGCAGCATCCTCTGGGCCCAATTGCCTACCCAAATGTCTGGTCTTCTTTCTGTCAATTTCAGGAGCTAGGGATTAAACACCCTCTACACAGGAAGAAGCTGGTTTTAGCAGTGAAAGCCATCAACACCAAGCAAGAAGAGAAGTCTGCGTTGCTGGACCACATTTGGGTGACACGTAAGTGGGGGCATGCACAGTTTAAGTATATTTCTGGCAGTTCCTAAGGTGCCTCAAAGACTGCTGTCTCCTTATGCAGGCAGATTGATGACTGAAACGTTTGAGGAAAGTGGAACCTGAAAAGGACCATTTGCTGCCATTTCTCTCCCTTCTCACCTCCACGTTTTCCTGTCCCTTTAAATCCTGACATTCCTGTTTCCTCCCATTTCTGTAGGGTGGCTTGATGATATTGGCTTACCCCAATACAAAGATCAATTCCATGAATCCAGAGTTGATGGACGAATGCTGCAATACTTAACTGTGGTAAGGATTTTTCCTTAAATATTTCACTTATCCTTGTGAGCACTCAGCTCAGATAGATTGGTGATTATCATTTAAACCTGATGCTACCTCCTCCTTCCTGTGCTCAAGGTCTTTAAATGGTATCATTTGTTACATAAGAGCTTCCTAATAATTGAAGGGAGCCCCTGGGTGATGCAAATTGTTAAAAGCTCAACTACTAACTGAAAGGTTGGCAGAGCATCTCACATATGCCCAGAAGTACCGCGGAAGAAAGGTCTTGCAATCTACTCCCGGAAGACCACAGCCCCTGGAGCCCCCTGGAATGCATTTCTACTCTGCATGAACCAGAATGGACTCAATGGCAACTAGCTAGTAGCATAGTACAGATCATTTCAGTAAAAATCTCTTGGTATGTACATGTGCAGTGAACTTGTCTATGTTTGGTCTGAGAAGGGAACTTAGGGGTCTTTTGTCACTCTGATTCATCAACCTAGACTTCTCTTCCAGAATGATCTTCTCTTCTTAAAAGTCACCAGCCAGCTACATCATCTCAGCATCAAATGTGCCATTCATGTGCTTCACGTCAACAAGTTCAACCCCCACTGTCTCCATCGGCGGCCGGCTGATGAGGTGAGCGCGGGGCAGGGCCTGTTCAAGTAGACCTGAGCCAGCACAGTGGAAGAATCATGCTGGAGAAAGCAAGAAAGCTGTCATCATAGAATGGCTGTATTCTGAGCCATAGTACTTGGAATTCGTCCCTGTGTGGTGCTCTTCAGTTGCCTAATGGTGCCTCAAGTACTCTTGTTATCTGTGCTTTGTATCCTGAGATGGCATTAGACCTCCAGACCCCCACTCTCCTTTGGAAAACTTGGACACATAGGGTTTGGGTTGAACACATGCTATGGGCCATAGGGCACCCTTTCCAGGACATCATATTGAATAATGGAGATTGTATAAACAGATGGGAGGGTGTGGAAATAAAATAGAAAAAGATGTCAAACTTGGCAATGGAGAAGAGAATTAGGAGAAGGGGAAAGGAGACCATAAATAAACAAAACCACATTTCAGAATAAAAATAAAATGAACTGACCTCCAGTCCAGGTATGCAGGAGATTTCATGAGCAGGAAATAATTTTGTAGCTAAACCCAAAGATTCTAGCAGAGTCCCTGAATGTTCCATGACACTAGGAGCTCATTGAGGGCCTTGAAGCTGAAGGATTTTCAATCAGACTTGTCTTCTCTGTTCTTGGCAACTAAGTCTAACTCTTCAGTAAGATTAACTCAGCTTACTGAGGATATAAATCACCGATCCCTTCCTTTCACCTTCTGTGTTCTACCTATTCACCAAAGATGTTTTGAATGCCTTATAAATATCAGGTATATTGCTGAAACATTGAAGACTAAGTGCCCTTTGAGGGCACTCAGGTGTAAGCATTCTTATATGTGCTTCCCTAAACTGTTTGACTGCATCAGGGAAATGTGTGTACATAAAACACTCAAAATGACAATTGTTTTCAAAAGTTGTGTTGAATCGCTGAATGGATGATGAAAAATCTTCCTGTATTAATCCCAAAGATATCTTAAGAATTGGGGATTTGACTGGATTCTGGAATCATAGAAGATCCTGCCAGTTTTAGCAAGATCTCTAATTCTTAGAAACTTAGGAGGCTCTCAGGAAAGGTGATCCCGGCTGGTCTAGGTCACTAGTCCTGGAGGCCCCAAGACCTTTTCTCCTTTTGATAAGGCATCGTGGGTTGTTTATATTGCCTGAACCATCTTCCTGGGGAAGGTGATGACTTGTTAACCTAATTTCTTTCCTCTCCTTCTCCCTCTCACAGAGTAACCTTTCTCCCTCAGAAGTCGTGCAGTGGTCCAACCACAGAGTGATGGAGTGGTTGCGGTCAGTGGACCTAGCAGAATATGCACCCAACCTCCGAGGGAGTGGTGTCCATGGGGGTCTCATTGTGAGTGACTCTTGGGACTAACCTATTGGCCTGCACCTGCTGCCACCTGGGGTACTCAGAAACGGACATAAATCTTAGTAAAAGATGTATTTCCTCGTATGTAAGTTTAAAATCTCAATGAGAGTATTTTGATACTGTCCAGTGAAGACTCATATACCTCTTGAAATAAGATGGCCTCCGGAAGGCCTTCCCTCAGCAGCAGATGCCAAGAGAGCCCAAGTCAAGGGGGTGCGAGCGGATCAGCCCTCAGCAGAGCAACGCCACCAGATGCCAGAGGAACATGTATCAGGACTTGGGAGATGAGGGTGGCCATCAGAATGTAACTTCCTGCCTGCCATGATAGGCTTAATAGGCCTATGGAAGGCAAAGCAGAGGAGGAATGGGGAGGGGCTTGTGTCTCATCAGGAGACGGCGCTGGGAGACAGCCTAACGGAGGTCACAGTTTCTCTGATGCTCTGTGAAAATGAGATGGTCAGTGTCAGTGTCCGCTCAGAGCCAGGCCTTGTGCCTGGCAGAGGGATGGGAGTGAGACTCAGACTGAGTGGATGAGCCTTAGCCTCACCTCTGGAAGATCTCCAAGCTGATTTCTCAGCATCACCCACCGGGAGCCCTCTCTGGTCACCACTGAGTACCTTTGCCTATGGTTCCTTCCTAGATCCTGGAGCCACGCTTCACTGGGGACACGCTGGCTCTGCTCCTCAATATCCCGCCACAGAAAACGCTCCTCAGGCGCCACCTGACCACCAAATTCAGTGCCCTGATTGGCCCTGAGGCTGAACAGGAAAAGCGAGAGAAAATGACCATGCCAGCCTACACCCCACTGACCACCACAGCCAAAGTCCGGGTGAGTTCCAGACCCTTTCTGGGGTGGGCCCCAGTGCCTGAAACTGGTCTTTGGGGTATTCAGCAGCTGGCCCGGTGCCTGGAGCCAAACCAGGGTATGGAGTCTAGGCTGGGAGGTGCTCTCAGCTCCTGCTGTGAGTCTTTGCTAAGCAGGTTCCCTACCAGCCTGGAGCCCAAGGAGGGAATGCAGGTTTCTTAAGCACTTCTGTAGATACTTATGCACTTCTGAAACAGCATCTATTCTCAAGTGGGTGGAGTGCATATTCTACCCCACTGCTATTGTCACTAATTTTCCAAAGCAGCTGAGTCCTCCTCACTCTGCATACCTTTGAGTCAGGCCCATGGTGTGCCACAGTACCTTGGTCACAAGGAATGCTCCAATCGACAGCAGGCCTGTGCCTCTTGTCCTGAGGTGACCAGCAGGTGCTGTCAAATAGCTGTGAGGTTGTCCCAGCACTAGCACCACCTGACCCAGGCTGTCTTTAGACCAGGTCCTTCCTAGCCTGCTGGGTTTGAACTGCTGACTTCGAGGTTTGCAGCCCAACACTTAACCCACTGCACCACCAGGACTCCTTTGTTCAAGATTAGCTATGTATTGGCCTCTCCCCAGCTTGCAAGGGTGTTCTCTCTCGTTAGGGTGTTTTGTCCAGAAGCAGTTCGCCTTATTCCTTTCCTCGTGGACTGCTCTTAAATGTATTGTCAGTTATATTCACACACTGGTTTGCTCAGCTCCTTCTCATCATCCTACATTTTCTATGTTTTAGCCAAGGAAACTAGGATTTTCACACTTTGGAAACATAAGAAAAAAGAAGTTTGACGAATCGACGGACTACATTTGCCCAATGGAGCCCAAGGATGGTGCTGGTGATGGTCACAGCGTGTACAGTGGTTACCGGTGCCCTGACTCTCTTGATGCCACTGAACCAGATGGGCTGGACCAGGTGGGACAGACTAGTTGAGGCCCTTGTCGCCTGCTTTCTCTGTGTACCTTGAGAGCTCACAGTAACATCGCGTGTCACCATTTACCTGCCACTCACTCGTTGCGTATGTGCATGACTCACAGAGAACGTTCCAGCCGTTGTGTGCCCTTGGACTGTGCCTGGGAGTGACCAGCATATGGAGTTGCATCTTAACTAAGAGGCCAGGCTCTGGTAATTGTTGCCAAAGGTGCATTCAGAAGGAAAAACCCTTAAAGATGTTTATATATATTTTTAGTAATTCTTAATGTCCATCGCCAGCACCAGTGGAAATACATGAACTTGGACATAAGGTCCAAAGTCCATGGACAAGACCAAGAAGCTCAGCGTGTGGCACCTTCCCTATCTTGAGCTGAGGGGGAAAAAAATCTCAAGTGCCTTAGGCCGGTGTGCCACAGTTTTAGCTGAGGTAAAGGGATAAACAGTAGGAATTTATGCAGCAGTGACAGTGTAATTGTGTTGTGCCTTAATACAGAGGTGGCCATATCTTGCTGGTAATAAAAACAATATTTATATGGAAAGAAAACTCAGCAATAGATCCTTACTCTTGTGGGAAGAAGCTGGGGCACAGCTAGGGAGGGAGTCCTATGTATCGCACTGAGCCCAGTCCCCAGCCAGGTGCCCATTCAGGATTTGTCAAGAGGCATGGACAAGGATGAAGCAAGGAAGGACCCCCATGTCCTCTAGATACATTGCTCTGTGCTCCTCTGCTTCACAGAAGAAACCCTGTGTCATCCCCCACCCCTACCCCCCACCCAGCGCACATCCTGATTCTGAGTCTGTGTTGTACACAGCCCTGAGTGGGCTTCCATTTACGACTCATGAGCCACCTAGAGAAAGGAGTGGTGGGGAGGCAAAAAAAAGATGGGCTTGCTGGAATGACCCTCTGTTGTAATTGCATTTTGCCATCCTTTCTACTACTGAGCTGGTGGGGCCTACGGCCACGTGGGAGCTGGTCTCTGTTGGGAGAGCTGAAACAGGCGAGTGCTACCGACCTAGAAGCGGACTGCCTGGTAATGGCTCTTCTGGATGGCTTCTCTTTGGCCCAGGACTGAGGGACAGGCCCACCTCATCAATCTAGCCTCCTGCTTTACCCCAGGGTAGCTTTGGGGTCCAATGGGCCCTCAGGCCCCGTCTGTAGAATATTAAGCAATGTTATAACCGGTGGCTAGGACAGAGCCTGAGAATGCATGGTGGGTACTCTGATTCTGCACCCATAGTGGTGACATGAAGATTTGTTTCTTAACCACAGCCAGGCTCAGGCATGAAAGAGGCCAGTGGCTCCATGCAGTCCAGCCAGCAAGAGATGTGAACAGCAGCTCCCTGATGGGCATGACTAGTATTTGACTCTGGTCCCCAGGATTTCTGAGTGATGGGTGGTCTTTGAGGCTAATACCTGGGCAATACCAGTTGAGAGGCACATCCAGGGCAGGCCTTTGTCTCATACTGTGGCATGGTGGGAGGCTCTCTGCATGTGCCCATTTTCAAGTCCTGCATGAAAATGTTTGGCCACTAATTTGTGCGTGCAGCCTCATGCAAGGCCTATTTGCTTTGTGGGTCTGATTTTCCCACCTGTAAAATGAGGGGTTGTAATCAATGTCCTCAAAGAATGCTTCCAAATCTATGATGTTGACCTAGGTTTAGAGCAGAAGCAAACCACCCTTACTGGAGGAGGAGGAGGGTGGACTGTGGGGTGTTGGGGGAAGGAGGTGATGGGAGACTCCTTGGAGGGAAGGCACTTCATCAGTCCCCTGAAGGTGTTCGTCTGTAGTAGGTGGGCCTCAGTGTCTGGTCCTCTTGTCCGGAATCATCAGTCCGCTCAGCATCCTGGAGGTTTTCATCACTGCTGCATTCTCTCCAGGAAACAGCTGTGCAGAAAGCCTGCTTCCAAAAGGCTTTCCTATGCCCTCCTCCTGTGTCCCCGAGTGTTCGGGTGGGCCTCTGGGCGAGTGTGCATGGCTGTGTGGGACCCAGGAAGCTCTGCCTATCCCCCAGCGACAGGAGCAGCATGTGCTTCACCCATCCTGCCACACCTCTGGCCTGATCCACTGCGCAGCCCGCCCCAAGAAGGCATGCCCTGGAGAAGCCAGGCCCAAGCAGGACAGGATTTGCATGCTGTGTCTCCACCAGTCACAAGCTGAGCCTCTGTGCCCTGACCAGGCTGCCACCCATTTTACAGATGGCACCTTCGGAAGGCACTGTGACGCAGATAGGGCTCCTCTCCCAAGACATTCACCGCCTCACGGTAGGACTCGATTCTCTCTCCACAGTAGGCCAGGTGGTGTGGGTCTCGGGGAGTTCCTCGGGTAGAAGGCCTGGATCATCCCTACCCCTTCCTCTCCATCAGTGCTTCTGCTGGAGGGGAGAGAGGAGGATGGTGCTGGAGCTTGGCGCAAGAGCCTCAGAAAGAAGCCCAAATGTCTGCTCCACAAGCCCACTGCTAGGTCTTGAGACACTCCGAGAACTGAGAAGGATCATGAGCCTATAGCAGAGGCAAGCTGAAGGGTCCCACTACATCGCCTCTCCTCTTCCCAGTCACAGAACTAGTGTGGACATCAAGGCACTCAGGATCTCTGGTTCGCCTGCAGAGTCAGCCCAAGACCAGGCCTCATCTCTGGCCTAGAACTCTGTTCTGCCTTCGCTGCCCAAGAATTGTGTGCATATATTGCCTCTGACTTGGCAGATAAAGGATACGCCTGTTCAGTGAAAGCACATGATGTGGAGGGTGGGGGAGCAGTTTGGCCTCATGGGAAGGGAGGGAAGCAGCCCTGCAGTTAGGCAGACTTGGTTCAGATTCTTGCTCTGCTCTGAGATGATGGGCAAATCATCTCTCTGAGCCTGTACATATCAGTAGAGTGGAGCTAATCAGTCTGCAAGTATGTGCGGCATGTATGAAGACTAGAGTCAGCAGTAAAAAGCCAGCTGCATGCAAAGCAGGGACGCAGATATTTGAAGTTCCTCAGCTTCTAGGGTCCTTGGGTTTCTGGACAGTCCATCACTGGGCCCATGGGCTGTAAGACCTGCTGTCCCCTGTTTGCTGATCAACCAAGGCAGACTAAGAAGGCTATGTCTCTTAAGTTGTGCAAATGATTGATGTGCATGTCTGAAGTTTGGGGGTTTGAAGCTACCCAGAGTCACCTTGGAAGAAAGGCGTGGTGTATTCTGAAAAATCAGCCACCCTGTGGAGCATAGTTCTCCTCTGACACACACAGGGTTGCCAAGAGCCAGAACAGACTCAATGGCAAGCAGATGGTCACAGGCAAGATAAGAGAAAAAGAGGCCCTGAATCCAAGTGACATCACTTATCCCCCTGCTTGCTCATCACACTGACATGAAACCGCCCGGCCTTAGCACCTGTGATAAGGCCTCAAAACAACTTCACCTCTAAGGTATAAGCAACTTACATTTCAATCTATTCTGACTTGATACTCAGGATCTCCAGACATTGGATTTGCATGTCACACATGGGCCAAGCCCATTGCTCCTCTGCTACCCATGTCCTGACCAAAGCCCTGATCAACTGCTACTTCGGCCAAAACCATGATCAACTGCCTCTTCGGCCATGTCCTTTCAGACGCTGCTGAGCCAGGACCAGCTGCTGAACGACTCTCGCCTGGCCCCTCCTGGCTCTGATGACTGGAGATGACCTCTTTCATGGCCCAGCGCCCAGAGAGGCACGTGCGGGGGCCCGGAGTCTTTGCTTCAATAAGGAGCTGGCACACAGCCATCCGTGGAGCCCCGACGGGGCTGGGGCTGGCGGGGGCATCTTGGATGCACGTGCTGGCTGGAGTCAAGTAGAGCTGTGGAGCAGATGTCCAAGAGCCGGCCCGGGTGCCCCTTTGTTTTCTCAGCCCTGCTGTGCTCATTGAAGCCTTTCTACCTTTTGTATTTTTATACATGGGCTGCAGACCACTTCTGAGGAGGGGGAATGAGGTCTCGGTGCACAGACTCAATGGCTCATGCTGTTCCTGGTGACAGCTGAGAGGCTCTCTACCAGAAGGGGATGGGGTGTTGGTTCATAAAAGCTCTGCTGGGGAAAAAAAAATTCTGAATCGTCTGTGGTGACCAAGCTCAGTGACATGGTGATAGGGTGCCCCCTGCTGAGCTGTTTGACAGGAGCGTGTATGGGTTGTGCGTGGAGGGTGTAAGCAGGAAAGAAGCCGCCAGTCTCCTGAGGGCCTGTCTGCACTCCAGCCACCCTCACCTGTAATGGGTGCTGCTGGGTGTAGTGAGCTTTGCGCTGAGCTGCTAACCACAAGGCCTGTGGTTCTAAGCCACCAGCCACTCCACGGGAGAAAGGTGAGGCTATGTACTCCTGTCAAGATCTAGAGTCTCGGCAACCCAAAGGAGCAGTTCCAGCCTGTCCTAGAGGGTCACTGAGTCGAGCCGGAATCGACTCCATGGTGGTGAGTTTGGCCATGGGCCTCCCAGCATTTTAGTGAGATAGCTGCTAAGGCACACAGGAGGGGGCACCCCCCCACAAAAAAAAAAACCTGGAATTTTTAAAAGCTATGTATTTAAGTCCCCCCCCCCCCCTAAAACAATCTCATCACCTTCAAATTAGTCTCCATTGTACTTAATACATTTGTTGAATCTGAGATTCCATTCTTGGAAACATTTTTCAAACTCATCTGTTTGGATGGCTGACAGCACCTCCCTCACTTTTTTTCTTCACCACTTCTAAGTTGTCAAATCGCTGTCCTTTCATGTCCCTCGTCATTCATGGAAACAAAAAAGAAGTTATACTGAAAAAGGTCAGGTGAGCAAGGTGTGTGTGGCAAGAGAGGCATGATGTTTTTGGCCCAAAACTGGTGCACCGAGCTGGCTGCGTGAACAGGTACAAAAACCAGTCCCCTGTATGCCACAAATCAGGTCTTTTTTGTTGCACACTGTTAATGCTATCTTTTCAGAATCTCTAAATAGAAAGCTTGACCTGGTGGAATGAACTCCAAATGCACTATGAATCGACATTTTTATCCATTTGGGAAGTTGACGGATGTCCAGAACAAGGTTTGTCATCAGTCAACATTTCACCTTTTTTGAAGAAAACCACACATACACTTGAGTTTTCCCCATAGCACTGGCCTTGTAAGCTGTGTTCAACATCACAACAGTTACTGCATTTTTCCTGAGCAGGAATCAAAATTTCACAGCCGCATGCTATTCTCTTAAATTGGCCATCACAAAAAATGAGGTTTGAGTGAAACTGCTTTCATGGAAAAATTCACTGTGACCAGAGAAACTTCCCAGATGTGATTGATAAAACAATGTCTCCCTCACTGGAAGGTCCGTGGGCACCCAAACTCACAAGTTTGTACCACAACTCACTATTTCCCCAAACGAGCCTATTCCCTTAGGTGCTAGGGCACTTACCATCTACTGGGGTGGGGAGGCGGGTAGCCATGTTTAAAACAAGTGTGCTTGTTTAGATATTGTGATAGAGGTTTCTAGGCCTAAAAAACGTTATGTCCTTTTAAAACTGAGGATGTGGATGGGAACTGAGAAAGCTCTGTGGCTGGGGAGGTACTTGGATTTTGAAAGATGAATCATGGTTTACAGTCAGCCAGAGGAGGAAAGGCATTCCTGTTAGATGGACTTGATACCCCTAAGCATTCTGGGAACTGTCACCAGTTTGTAAAACTGTGGCAGGATTTCTCAGCCTCCTCACTCTACATTGTTTGGGCCCAAATCATTCCTGGTGATGGAGGCTGGCCAGTGCATTGTAGAATGGATAGCAGCATCCTTCGTCTCTGTCCTCTGGTGCCAGTAACTACCCCACCTCCTGGGAGAACCCACAGTGTCTACAGACATTACCAAATCTGCTGGAGTGGAAAAACCGTCCCAGCTGGAGAATCCCTAAAGAACAGGAGACCCAGGGAAGGAAAAATCTGGTGAGGTCAAAAGACCTTGTAACCCAACTTGCTGGAGCTTACTTAACTTGAAAAAAGGGAGTGGCCAGGGACAATCTTTCATGAGGATCATGTCTTACTCATCACCCCACAAACCAAATCCACCACCAGTGAGTCAATTCCAATTAATAGCTGGCCCTAGAGGATTTCCAAGACACTGTCTCTACAGGTGCAGACAGGCTCTTTCTCCATAGAGCAGCTGATGGGTTTGAATGGCTGGCTTTTCAGTTAGCAGCCGAATGCCTAAGCCACAGCACTACCAGGACTCCTTCTGCATCAGACAGTGCCCAGCAAAATCTGTTTCATTGAGCGGGGCATTCACTGAACACTCACCGAACATTGGGTGGATAAATGCTAGCCAGTGGGTACCACCCGCTCTTTCTCTTGCAGGCTCTCTGAAAACACCCCTGCTTGGATGCCCTGTGTATAAGACACAGCTATATTCAAGAGTCCTTCCTAAAGCGGTATTCATCTCTCTCCCCCTTCCTTTCTGAGTGACATGCACACATGGTTGCCCTTATGACAATTTTGTGAAAAGGGAAGGACGTGGAATGAAACAGGCTGTGGTTTGAGCCCAGCTCTGCCACCTGCTGGCCGAATGGATGACTTAGTCTCTGAGCCTGTTTGCACATGTACACTTGGAGAATCCCCAGAACCTCTGACTGTACGAAATAAAGTGCAAAAGCAGCTCTACCCACTCCCAGGTGGCCTCCATTGTAGAACATTTCCACAATGTCCTATGGGCCGACTGGTAGTTTCCAACTGCTGAGCTTGTGCTTAACCTCCCGAATATTTAGCCACTGTGCCACCAGGGCGCCTTCTGTGAGTACACCCTAGAACCAGGGCGCTTCGTTTTGTCTACGAATAGCAGATGGCAATGGTGGCCACATGGGTCACCTGGGCTCAGCGGGATGAATGCTTTAAGGAACAGTTTCTACACCCTCACTTTGTAAGTTCGGAAGAGCTGTACATAACCCCCCTGCACCCTCATGCCACACCAGTGCCTGGTGTTTAGAGGCACTCAAGAGGCGCCCTTTGCTCCCACTCGGTGTGCAAAGAGCAGGGAGGCTCAGAAGGATTCCCGGAGCCCTGCTACCCTTAGATTGACGAGGGTTTGTGTGTGCCGTGTTAATGCTGTTCCCGTTTCCAGGCTCTCCCGTCGGAAACCACAGCTGCACTCGAGATGGGAGTTCCGAGAGTACTGACTGGAAGTTGGTTGTGACCCTACTAGGGCTTTGTTTGTTTTCATTCTTTGGTACATTTACCAGTCTGATCCCCCTGGATGTGCCAGAGCCAACTCCATGCAGGGCAGGCCAGGGCCTCCAGACTGCTCCCCGGGTCCCCGCAGAGCCACACCTCATGGGCTATTTGCTTTGTACCTAAGTTGGTTTCACGAACCCCTGAAAAAGATACTCCCCTCCAGGCCTCCCCAAGGAAGGCTCCACAGAAGCCACTTTGTCCCCAGCCCTTGAGCCCTCCTCCTTAGGACCACACACAAAAGAGGGAGGGGTAGCAGTGTACATGTGCAAGGTTACATTAAGTGGCCCTTTTGTAAACACCACAGTTCCACATGGTATACGAAACTCACTTTGAAGCAGATAAAGGGGGCCAGGCAATTTGTTAAAAGCATGGGGTGTGTTAGTAGGTGAAAATCATGTTCTTGGGATAGCCCAGTTTCTCCAAGTTAGGGTGAGCAGCGATCTGGATCAGGGCAGGTGGGCCGCACACCAAGATGAGCGTGGACTTCCCAGGAGGAGGCAGGTGATCCTTGATCATGTCGGCAGTAATAAAGCCGATGCTGTACTTCCAGCCTGAAATTAAGTCGAAGCAGAAAAGAGCTGTGGGGCACCAGGCCAAGTCCCTGCTTCCCAGGCCCTGTCCTCCCTCTCCCAAAGCCAGGCAGAGAGCCAGGGTGCTCCACAGAGGCTTAGGAGTCCGTACTACTGTCAGGATTTGGGTGTCAGGCAGCCCTCTGCAATTCTTACCCCAAACCCCAGGCTCACTGCTGTGACCCTGAGGCCCCGATAAGTCCTGGAGAAGATAGAAAGTGTGATATAGAGCTGTATGGGATTTGTGGACATGCTCAATCAGGTGACACACTGTAGGGCAGGAAGCTGTACAAGACTAGAGCAGCTCTCTGCAATGTGGGAAAGGTTTATCTGAAGGGGAGGGTGGCCACATGGGGTGCAATGGGTGCTTGCTGGGATTGCAGCGGCTACCTGGGAATCAACATGTGAGGACTGCTGTCTGGGTGAGGAAGGAGGCGAAGGCTGCTGTTTCTGTGAGCAGCGATGTGAATGGGGAAGCAGGGCAGTGACTGTCCTGGGTCCGGATGTGTGGATTACCATGCCCTGTACAGCCATGGGAGGCCATGCAGTGGGGCCCAGTACCAGGTAAACATTTGTGCGGGAAGTGGAGTGCTACTGGTCTTTATTGCTTCATAAGCCCAAACCAGAAAAATCAAGTCACTGCCACTGAAACAATTCTGACACGTTGTGATCCTCAGTAGGGTTTCTGAAACTGTACATCTTCATGGGAGCAGACAGCCTCTTTTCCCCAGGTTGCAGCTGGTGGGTCTGAATTACCGACCTCTCTGTTAGCAGCCCAACACCTAACCCACAGCCCCGCCATGGTTCCTTCATCAATCACTCACTGCAAGCAAAAGGCTTCTGATGCAGAGTGGCCCTATAGCACAGAGTAGCTGCCCCTCTGAGTTTCTGAGACTATAACTCTCTACTGGGGTAGAAAGCCCTGTCTTTCTCCTACAGAAAGCCTGATGGTTTTGAACTGACATTGCAGTGACCAACACTCTACCACCAGGGCTCCTTTGTAAGTAGCTCATCAATCCTTCGGTTCCTACCCTCCCACACCCAAGTGGGGGCAGAGTCCAAGGCTTCAGACCGCAAACCCAGTGCTACAAAGAAAATGGTCCAGCCCCTGAGGTGGGTCAAGGGTGGGGGCTGACTCCAAGGAGGGGCGGGGGTGATCTTACCAATGGGAGGCCTGTCCAGGGTGTACCACAGCTTGAACTGATCTGAGTATGTTATGGCAATTTCTTCAAGCTCCCTTCTCAACAAGATATCCTCCTCTGACTAGAAGAGAAGCAACATTAGGAACACCTTCCAGGGACTTCCTACTGGTTCCCCATATTTCACAAATCAATGAGCACCCTCCTGCCCAAGTTGTCATTCCATCTGGAGGAGCTGCCAAAGACTCTCCGGGAAATTAGCGTGCTGCTGCTGCTCTGAACAGCCTGCTCTCACATGGATGTGGGAGCTGGAGTTGGAAGGGTGTAAATTCTAGCAGGGCAGGAGTGACTTCCAACTGGACAGACCACAGCCCAGCACGGGCAGAGGTGGCTTCATTGAGAAGCCTTACCCACACTCAGCATCAGGCAAGGCAAACCCAACTGAACAAGCCTAGTGCAGGGGCAGGAGCTTCAGCAGTGAATGCAATGGCCTAGAGAGACACTGGGAGAACAATACTGGAGAGAGGGAACAAAGCTGCCTCGTTTGGGCAGAAGGGAGCCAAAGCCAGAGGTAATTTGTCATGGGCTCAGAGTTATTGCGCAGAAGCATTTTGAGTCGTGTCCCGATAATTCTACTTTGAGGATTCCGTTTCATAAACTAAAGGCGATCAAGCCTAGGGGCAGAATTATTCATCAGAGTGTCACTCATAATCATGAAGATGGGCGATTATATAAAGACTTTTAAAGAGAGAAAAAATGCCTGGGTGGTAATGTTGAATGAAAAAAATGTTAATTATAAATATTAAAAAGACTGGAAAATACATATAATAATTTATCAGGGATATACTTATAGATTATTTCGTCTTTATGTTCTTATTTCCCAAAATTGTTCTAATGAGGACATCTATGATTTTATAATCAGAGGGGAAAAATAAGGAAGAAATAGTGCTCAGGGTTGGCTGGGGTAAACACCAAGAATTTAAAAATGAGCCCAACTAGGCTGGGTTCAGCTTCTCGGGCTTCCAGCTGCCCTGGGAGCACCCACTCAACACTCCCTCCACCATGCGCCCCAGGCGGCCAGAGCACACTCAGTTCAGAAGGATGAATGCGGCCCTGCTCAGCACACATTCCATCTGTCCACTGCCAGCTCCAGGCTGACTCGGCAGAACTGACCTGGTTGGCAAAGAGGAGGGACATCTTGGTCTTGTCCTTGGGGTTCTTGGTGATATGGCGGATGAGCTGCAGCATGGGTGTAATCCCTGGAACACAAATGGGCAGGCCAGCTTTCCTGCCTCCCTGGTGCCCACAGTCCCTCCCGGAAAGAACTGACATTTTCATGGGCCCAATTACACTTTTCCCGATGTACTTACCAAAATTCAAAGTAAGGAAATGCCCAGCATTTTGGTTTTCCTTTCTGAAGCAACAATAAACCCAGAGCCCTTCCTCATTTTAATATGGCAAAGTGGGAGCAGGATGGCTTAGCATTTAGAACTAGGTTCTCCTCCCAGCTCACTAGCTGTGTGGCTCGGGGTGAAGCATTGGCCCATCTGAGCTCTTCTGCTTCCTCATGTGTCAAACAGAAAGAAGAGTAAATGTGATCATTTTAAAAGGACCTGTTATGGCCTTAAACCACAACCATAAACCCATGGCCATGGGATCCATTCCAATCCTCGGTAATGCTACGTAGGGCTTCGGAGGCTGTGTAAATCTTTTCAGGGACAGACAGACTCATCTTTCTCCTGCAGAGTGACTGGTGTGTTTGAACTGCGGACCTTGCAGTTAGCAGTCTAATGCATCACCATTATGCCACCAGGACTCCTGAGTTCTATCATAGGGGTTCCTTAAACATGTGTTCTCTTCTTTCAGGTGCTCCGCTCAACAGATGTGGAAAGTCAGGCTTGAACTGAATCCAGGAGCCCTTGGGGATCACCCTCCTCTATGTTCCTCAGCCTGTCTTGAGAGGTTCCTATGGCTCCCAGCAGCTGCCATGTTGGTTGAGGGGAAGCAAGATACACCGAGCCAGCTCTAGGGGCCTGTCACTGACCATGATTTCCACCCATAACCACCAAGGGAGGAATCACTCAGATCAAAGTACTCCAAAGTCAGAAAGCTCTCAGGGCTCACCCTGGGGATGAAGCCCCCCAGGTGCCTCTTACCTGTGCCCCCAGCAATCATTCCCAGGTGACTGACACATTTTCTTTCAGGCTCACTTTTTTTGTCTGGTCTGATTGCAAGCCTCCCTAAAAACACAGAGGATGTTTCTGACTTCTGCAGGCCTTGTCTTGAGAGCCTTTCCTTTGGCATCCTGGAGTCACATCTATCAAAGGGCTTGTCTGCACCGCTATACGCTAGAGACGCAGGCCAGAGTGGCCTCCTTAGGGGATTGTTAGATCTTACAAGGAAAGAGAAAGGCCAGCTGAAGTCAATATGAGCCTCACGGGGCATTCTTACATAACTACAGCGGTGAGAAAATCCATGAATGTGAATAAATGCCTCAAATGTAGAGTCCATCCAACCACCCACTCATTTCTCAGTGCTATTAGGTATTGCGTCCTGTGTTGGACATAGTGATATGGGTGCCTCTCATCATTCCACTGCTTTATGGAGTTTACAATCTCACCAAGTGAATGTGTGAATGATTGGTTGGTGTGGCTGTAAATGTACTGTGTGTGAATAAATGAATGTATGAATGAAGCCTTTAAGGCAAATCCCATGTGACTCCCAATGTACAGATTTCGAGATCAACAGCACCACCCTCGGAATCTTCTCCCATAAGATGAGTGACCCAATCCAAGCCCCCCCAATACCTAGACCATGGTAGAACAGGCACCCAGTTGGCCCACGGAAGAGGACGGTGTCCCCTATATCCATGTTCTCCAAGTATTGGGTCATCTTCCCCCCTTCAGGATACTGGGGGTGTACATTTTTGAAGTAGATCTGAAAGACAAGGTCACATGGTTTTCACATCCCCAGACTTCAGGTCACAGTCACACACAGCCACAGGGAATTCAGGCGAGAAAGTCCTTTGCGCTCACAGTTGCTGCAAGCAATCCTGGAAGACACCACGGGGCTAACTGGAGCTCCACCCTTGTATGACACTGCTGCACAACAAGATCCAGGGCACGTGTCCCTTAGGAAAGAGGCCCTCTGCCTTCACTCTAGCACCCCTTGGCCCTCAACAGCTTCCATGAGTTTGAGGCAGCTGGGCAGTGGTGACCCCATTTACCTTTATAATGAAGTCCACAAAGCCTCTGTCCTCATCACTGGAGACCGGGGTATAAGGCCTGATCACCAGATCATCATTAATTTGGGCCAAGAGATGGACATGGTTCCCTACAGAAAAGGAATCAAATGTCAGTCTGAGCAGGGCGAGCATAAAGGGGAGACAGCAATCCCCTAAGTCCTGGACTTCAGGGAGATGGGCAGCAGGGTACCTGGTGGGAGGGAAAGACCAGGAGGATGTTTTGTGCTCTAGGCCTGGCCTTGCCACTCCTGTACTACCTGGGCAAATCACTTCTCTGGGTTTTAGTGTCCTCCTCTGTAAAGACGTGATGCCTACGGCGCCCCAAGCATAGTGTGGTTGTGAGATCCAGGTACAGGAAGCCTACTGGGCTTATGGTGTCAACGTGCTTTGTGGAGCAGGAAGAACCAACTGAAGCTACAAGGTAACTATTAAAAGTTACAGAAAAGAGCATATCCTTATTTAAACAAAATATAGGCTACTTCTATCAGTGGGGTCTGGGAATAAGTCACAGGTCTGGGCTCCTAGGCACTCGAGGCCCACCAGATACGGACACACATGGACCAGGCGTTCTAGAAAGTGCATTGTGTCTTCATGGATGTCAACAGGATGCTGTTGAGAGGCGGCAGGTTTTTTGTTTTTTAAAATCATTTTATTGGGGGCTCTTACAGATCTTATAACAATCCATGCATCAATTGTATCAAGCACATTTGTACATATATTGCCATCATAATTTTCTAAACATTTTCTTTCTGTTTGAGCCCTTGGCATCAGCTCCTCTTTTCCCCCTCCTTCACCTATCTTCCCACCATTGTGAGCCGTTGATAAATTATGAATTATTTTCATAATATCAGCTGTTCAGTTTTCACTGCATAATTCTCCCCCTCCAAGGGCAGAAGTGAGGAGCCCTGGTGGCACAGTGGTTATACGTTGGGCATCTAACGCCTGAGGTCAGTTGGTCAAAACCACCAGCCACTCTGAAGGAAAAAGATGAAGCTTTCTACTCTTGTAAAGAGTTGCAGTCTTGGAAACCTACAGGGGCTAGTAAGGTCGTTATGAGTCAGAAGTGACTACATGGCAGTGAGTTTTGTTTTTGTTTTACTTTTACAGTAGAAGTGATTTGTCCAGGTGTAGCCAGACACCTATGACTAATTACTACATTCTAAGTATGGAACGATGTACTGGGCTTCCCAGTTTCTGGTCCATCCAAACTGGGAGACTTAAGTGTCTCAGGTAATTAGTAGGAAGGGCAAAAGTGGCAGTTAAGAGATGCTAAGAGCTGGAGGCAAGAGAAAGTCTCTGGCTAGAGTTTCCCAGGAAGTAGAAATTGTGCGCACAGGAAACTGATAAAGAAGGCGCAGATATGTAGAAAGGAGAGAGCTAGGGAGAGACAGAGCAAAAAGGAAGAGGACAGGAAAGCAGAAAGGGGTGGGGTGGTGTAGAAGTGCAGGTCCTTCAAGTTGTGTTCGGAGCATACTTGAGTCTTTGAAGAGGTCCTGAAGCCTGAGGCACAAACACTTTAGGTTAAGAAAAGCAAGGCTCAAGGCTCTGGTCTGGGCCTAGCTAGCCACCAGGGATACCTGGGAACACATGCCTAAGGCGGCTTCTCTCAAACTGTGAACCTGGAATGGCTCTTTTAAATGTAACCAACCCGAACCTGGCATAGCTGTGTCCCCAGAGCAAACTGACTGCCTGGCTTGTTCCTCAGGCCCCATCTCTCGGAGCCCTCACAGAAGACTTCTGGAAGCTTCTATCAGTTTGTCCCAACTAATTTTGCAGTGCCCACACCAGGTTTGAAGAGGAGCCTCGTGGCATAGTGGGTTCTGTGTTGTGCAGCTGATCACAAGGTTAGCTGTTCAAAACCAGGGAGAAAGATATGACTTTCTAGTTCCAATTCCGCCTCAGAAACCCATAGGGGCAGTTCTACTCTGTCCTACATGGTCACTAAGAGAACAGATTCAATGACAGTGACAGGAAGTGACAGTACAAGTGAGAAGAGGATGGGCCAAGGCAGGTTCTAAGAAATTCTATTTCACAATTTTTTTTTTGTTGCTCTTTGAGGCTTCTTGCCAAGAGGACAGCCCCACAAGCCAGACAGGGATGGAAGGTAGCCAGACAGCGAGCTCTGATGGATTCAGAAGTAAAAAGGGGGCTGAGTGCATAATTTCCCCAACTAGTCTAGACAAGTTCAGTGTTATCCTGTGCACACATCCTGTGCACACATGGCAAGCAGGCCGTGGATTAGGGCCACCATCACGGAGGCAAGTTGCACTAACTTTCTACGAAGCTTCTCTGGACCTCCAGGTCCTGAGAATCAACCCAAACTAAACTCACTGCCATTGAACTGCCCTTATGGGTTTCTGGTCTATAATTCTTTATGGGAGTAGAAAGCCTCCTCTTTCTCCCAAGGTGGACCTAGTGATTTCAAACTGCTGACCTTGCAGTGTCACCTCCTAGACCACAGGGCTCCTGGGTCTGGCTGAGGTTTTTCTACCTCACGGGACCCTGGTGGCAAAGTGGATCACTCAGTGAGCTTCTAGCCACAGAGTTCGTGCTTCAAACTCGAGCTGCTCTGGGGAAAAGGATGAGGCTGTCTACTCACGAAAATCTAATCTTAGAAACCCAAAGAAGCAGTTCTAATTGGTCCAATTGGATTGCTATGAGTCAGAATCATTGGCAGTGAATTTGGTTTGGAATACTGATTTGAGCCATCAAATTCTGATGGCTATAGAAAACAGGCCATCATTCTGAACCTTAAAATAGTGAGGGTTAGTTCCCCCAATGGGTTACGTTCTAGTATTGTTCTAAGGTTCCTACAGAAAAAACGCATGGTGGTTGGAGAAGAGCTATCTGATTTGTAGTCTCTAGAATGGTAAGAAAATAGATCTCTGTTCTTTAAAGCCACACACTTGTAGTGCTTTTTATTGCAACAGTAAGAAATCAAGATGCCTATGTATGCACAGAATTTCCCAGTTTCTAAACTTTCACATCTTTCAAGCAATTTAGCCTCATAATGGCCTAAGGGCCTGGGAAATGGAATTTCATAAACAGGCTCTGAGAGCTTGAGGGACTTGCCTCAGGTCACCCAGCAAGGAACCTGGGATGAGAGGCTTGGTTTTGGTACTTTTTTTTTTAACTTTGTGGTGAACTGAGTGAAGGTTTAAAAAGAAAATCCGTTTTCCCTTAAGCGGTGCATACACATTTTGTTTCACATCACTGATGCATGTCCCACAATGGAGTAGCGCTTATTCTATTTCCTCCCTGTGTTTACCATTCCCATTCCTCCTCCTTTCTGACCCCTCTGGCCTTCAGAACAGTCTTGGGGCAAATGCTGCTCTTCTACCGCAGATGGTTGATGATTCTAAGGACTGGGTGCCTCCCTGGTGTGATTGTCCATCTTACAGACCTCTTAGGTGGCTGAAAACTGAACCACGAGGGCAAGTTCAGGTGCAGGTCTGAAGGATGACTACGGGCCATATTCTCGGGGGTCCCACCACTCTGTATGAGAATTGTAAGCCTGGTCCTTTTCTTTCTTTTAATGATTTTGAGAACCCCCCACCCCCCATTTTTGGGATGAGATTTTTGATCTCTGACCTCCAGTCTCACCTCTGACACTGGCTCATGGAGGCATGACTTTTGTGTGGGGCTACACTGAACAAAGAGAAGAGGGGCTCTACTACCTCCAAGCCCATCTCCCCATCCCGTGTGCTCAGAAGACTAGCTGTGCTTCTGCTAGGAATAGCAGCTAGCGCTGCCAGTCTCCAGGCCAGATGATGACACCAAGTCCCGCTCACCTACAGGCAGCCCTAAGAAATGGTCCGCCGAGGGCAGTCCGAAGCGAAACCTCCGGGTATTGTGGCTGATTTCCTAAAAACCAGAAAAAATACAAGGATTAGAAACCTTGCTGGGCAGCTCAGATGCTGGGGGTGGGGTGGGGAGGAGAGAACTTCATTTGATGCTTCCCCAGCTTATGCAAAAAAGGGGAGTGGGTCACAAACCGGTGGCCATGACATTTCTAACTGCCCTCCCTGCCCAGTCCATTCCGCAAGACTCTTGTCCCCTACTGGCAGGGGCAGGGTGGTCCAATCCAGTACCTCTTTCTCAATCAAGGGCAGAGGGTACTTGGCTTCAGGATCCTGCAAGGTGATCAGCTTTCTTCTCCTTGAGTTCCTGGTCTTCAGGGCCACCATGACCACGGTCAGGCCAATGACAGTGATGGCCAGGAGCAGGGACGGGTCCTGAACAGACACAATGGGAGCAGAGCAGCCCCTTCCTCAGGCTCAGTGCACCCTCCCCCCACAAAAAGCATTAGAAGATACCAAGTTATGCCTGAAACAAACAAACTAGGCAGAAGGAAACGACCTAAAACAGAAGGCAGCTTAGCCCACAGTGCGAAAAGGATCAGCACCTGGCCCAGGCCAGGTACATGGTGATGGAAGCCCAGCAGGCTCCTTTCGGCCTGTTTGTCTTTCAGCGTGGCTACATTGAAAAGAATCCGCTCCTTGAAGTGGAAGGGGGGAGGGCCACTTTTTGCTCTGATGTCACTGCTTCTAAATAGGCAATTCCGAATGGAGACCGCAGCCCCCAGGAGCAAAAATGGGGCTAGGGCTGTAGGCGGTGGGCTGAAGACGCCATCCCACCAAGGTGGCTGCAGCTCAGGGTGGCCCGGGGCTTGGGCTCACCTCTCCCGCTCGGGCTTGGCTAGGACTGGACTTTTCCTAGGGGGTGCTGCCTGACCTCACTGCCTCCGTGCACACTGCTTCCGTGCATGCTCCCAGGGGTGGTGACGGAGGCCTGTGCACTCATCGGCCAGCGGCTGGGCCACACGTTGGTCTGTCCCTGCGGCCCAGCCCCCCAGCGCTGCCAGGCTCATGCCCTGACCCTAGCTAGATACAGGGCAGAGTGGTGGGGTGGGGCGGACACCCCCACGTCAAGTCGGTGGCACGTGTGGATCTGGAGTCCCCACTCTCCACCCAGCCTGGCAGGCCGACTGGCCTCCCACCCATCCCGGCGCCCTCCTTGGCCCTCTGGGTTGGGGTGGGGGGGCCTGGCCTGGCCTGAGCGGAGCTGGCCTTTCTAGGCCTGAGCTCCACTGTCCGCCCCATCCGGCTCCATCGGGCTTCCCAGCAGTCTGAGCTCCGCTGGCCCCGCCGGGCCCCCCACCCTGCCCCCTGGACGCACCCGTAATGGGAAGGCGCAGCCGAACATGCCG